TTTCTATTCTATTCCCTTATGTTCTATTCTATTCTTTTATTTTCTGTTCTATTGTTTCATTCTATTCTTTTCAAAATTCGCATTTCGTAAGACGGTTATATTTATTCTATTTTATTCTTTTTTTTTCCATTCTATTCTTTTCTATTCTATTTTGTTATATTCTATTCGAGTCCTTTAGAAATTTGAATTTCAAGAGACAGCTATATGTTAACACGAATACACAGTCTTTAAAAGGAAATCAGCAACGTTCAGCAATATGTTTATATTTCTAATTCTCCTCTATTATTTTCTATTCCTTTATTTTCTATTTTCTATTCTTTTATTTTCTGTTCTATTGTTTTATCAATTCTATTCTATTCTTTTCAAAATTTGAATTTCAAGATGGCTATATTTATTCTATTTTGTTCTAGTTTTTCCCCATTCTATTCTTTTCTATTCCTTTATTTTCTATTCTATTCTTTTATTTTCTCTTCTATTGTTTTATCAATTCGAATTTTGGAATACAACAATATTCTATTTTATTCTGTTCTATTCAAATCTAATTTGTTTTTCAATTCTCCTCTATTCTTTTCTATTCTATTCCTTTATGTTCTATTCTATTCTTTTATTTTCTGTTCTATTGTTTTATTCTATTCTTTTCAAAATTTGAATTTTGGAAGACGGCTATATTTATTCTATTTTATAAGAAAATCAGCAAAAGTCAGCAATATGTTTATATTTCTAATTCGTTTTCTAATTCTCCTCTATTCTTTTTTATTCCTTTATGTTTATATTTCTAATTTTTTTTCGATTTTTATTCGAATAATTCGTTATTCGAATTGGACATTTCATCTCTGTATTTTGGATTCGTTGAAATTCGTGACTAATGTCGTTCGGAAATTGAGATACATCCGAATAACAAAAATTTTATCCGAATTTCGATTCGGCACGAAAGGAAACCGCAAATCTAGCAGAAATCAGGCGCCGCGCGGGGCCCACAAACAGCAGCATCTCATATGTGACTGGCAGGCCTGGATCTCCATCTGTATGAATGAACGACTTCCTGGCACGGGTGCAAGCTCACTCGGAATTCGATTCCCCCTCCCTGGCCGAGGATCAGCGAGGAAACAAAGAAATGTGAAACTTCAATTCCAGAGCTGATCTCAGTAAATAATGTTACTATGAGTACAAAGCCGCGGCGGCAACAATCCTGAATACGGGAGACGAATCTCCGACAAAAGTCGATTATGTGACCCGGCCGACGCACAATGGTGACCGCAGAGGATTTCCCCGCCTTCAGAAACGTACGGTCAGCTTAACCCCTCGCCAACCAGAGGATGTCCCCCCCATTCATGACCGGGCCATTTTTTGCGATACGGCGCTGTGTTACTTTAACTGACAATTGCGCGGTCATGCAACACTTTACCCAAATGACATTTTTATCATTTTTTTCAGACAGATAGGGCTTTATTTTGGTGGTATTTAATCACCTCTGTGGGGTTTTTTTTTTTTTTGCTAAACAAACCAAAAACAACTGAAAAGTTTGAAAAAAAATAAGTTTTTTCTTAGTTTTTGTTAAAAAATGTTGTAAATAAGTGATTTTTCTCCTTTACTGATGTGCGCTAATGAGGCTGCAGTGATGGGCACTGATAGGCTGCAGTGATGGGCACTGATAGGCTGCAGTGATGGGCACTGATAGGCTGCAGTGATGGACACTGATAGGTGGCACTGATAAGGAGGCACTGATGGGCATTGAAAGGCATCACTCATATATGGCACTGTTAGGCGGCACTGACTGGCATTGATAGGTGGCACTGATGGGCAATGGCAGGTGGCATGGATGAGCACTGATAGCTTGCACTGCTGGGGCTACAATGATGATCAGGGCACATGTGCCCTCCAAGGAATGCCGATTACTGGCTCTCCGCTCCTCTCCTCTGTCAGCGTGACAACTCGTGAGGAGAGGAATGCCGATAACCAGCATTTCCCTGTTAACATGTGATCAGCTGTGATTGGACACAGATGATCACATGACTGAGCCGACATCTTCGGCTCTTTCCGTTGATCAGTGATCCGCTGTGTCCCAGAGACACAGCGCACCGTCGAATGACGCGCCCTCCCTGAGCCGCGCACGCGCTGTTAGAGTTGGAGGACGTCATATGACGTCCTCCCAGAACAAGAGGACCGCCTTGTGCCCGTCATTACTTTATATGGCGGGGCGGGAGGCGATTAAAAAAAGTTTTGTAAACATTTTGTAAATTTTAATAAATGTACAACATTTTTAACAAATTTTTTTTTTTTCACTAAATTTTGTAAAAAAAAATTTAAAAAATCAAATTCCGTCATAAATTTTTACAAATTTTTTTTTTTACTAAATTTAGTAAAAAAAAATTAAAAAAAATCAAATTCTGTCATAAATTTAGGCCAAAATGTATTCTCCTCTGTGTCTTTGCTATAAAAAAAAATTGCGAAACGTGTAAATTAATTGGTTTACGTGAAAGTTATAGCGTATATAGATACTGGAATTTCTTATTTTTTTCTAATACTAATAATGGCAATCAGCGACTTATAGCGGAACTGCGGCGGGCATTCTGACACTGGGGGGGAGGGAACTGACTTGGTGTCACTGACATCCCCAGTGACACCACTACAGCAATCAGTGCTAAAAAAAAAAAGCCCCGACACTGTACTAATAGCACTGGGCAGGAAGGGGGTTAACATTTGAAAATGCAAAATCACACACATATAATATATATATATTTTTTTTTTTTTTTGGGTTATATGTATATATATAGGAAATACTTCTACAGGGTATATATATTTATTTATTTTAATATATATTTTTTTGGGGTTTTATATATATATATATATATATATATATATATATATAAAAGATAAATTTTTTTGTATACATATATACATACATATATATATATATATATATATATACACACACATATATATATATATACACACATACATATATATATATATATATATATATATATATATATATATATATATATATATATATATATATATAGGATATACTTCTACAGGGTGGCAGTGCTGCAAAAAAAATCACACACACACAGACATACATATATATATAGATATATATATATTTTATATATATATATTATATATATACACACACACACGTGATTTTGCGCAGCGCTGCCATCCTGTAGCAGTATTTCTGTCCTAGGACGGCGGGCAAGCGTTTAAAGGACACTGATTTTATAGGGGTGTATACTTGTGAGCTACTATGGTGACATAAAAGTGCTTACAATTAATTATTTTAAGTATAATGGTGCATCAACACATAAAAACACATACCAAATTAATGTGTAGACAAAAGCAAAATAAAATATTAACTGTGTCGCGCTCCTCAGAATATTGTTTGGTGATATATGATGTATTATAAAATATAAATAAATTAAATAAATAAATATAAATAAATAAATGGATATTATCTCATAATAATATAATGTAACTTAAATTAAATCATGCCCAGTGCTGCAAATTAATTATAAATAACTAAAAAATAAAAATATTTTTAGTTATTTATAATTAATTTGCAGCACTGGGCATGATTTAATTTAAGTTACATTATATTATTATGAGATAATATCCATTTATTTATTTATATTTATTTATTTAATTTATTATATTTTATAATACATCATATATCACCAAACAATATTCTGAGGAGCGCGACACAGTTAATATTTTATTTTGCGTTTAAAGGACAACTCCACTTCAAAAAATTTTTTAAAAAAACTGCTATAACAAGTGTGACTACAAGATTCACTCTAAACTTGAATGTTATTATAAACATTTCCTAACTCTAGAATTAAAAAATAATTATTAAAAAAAATAAATAAATCACATTTTGCATCTTTGCGCCGATGGCCATCGAATTCTGGGTTACAGACAACCCCGAGGCATGGTGGCTCAGTGGGTAGGACTTCTACCTTGCAGCATTGGGGTCAAATCTTGGCCAGGACACTGGCTGCATGGAGGTTGCGCAGTGCCGAATTGCCGAGCCTATGGGCCCCCGCGCCATTTAAGGGCAGCGCGACAACGGATCCAAATAATATGATAATAACGAGTCGATGTTGAAAGAAAATGACGATGAAGCTTTCATAAATTATTGCCAAAAGATAATAAAAAAAAAAAGAATTCACTCAAAGAAAGGAAAACTTTCCATTGCAGGCCGTTCACAATCGTGCGACTTTTGGGGTCCAAATAAATATTTGTCCCTGGAAGCTGCTCGCTCTGGTAAACGGTCTTTTGAGGTGTTCGGACAAATGCTTTGTCAACACGAACGTTTTCTGGCGAGCAGATGAATGGGTGACACCATCGCCCCATTCCGGAGTGACGGACGGCCTTGTCAGTCCGGGGACATGGAGATCAGAGCGACCAGCCGCGTGATTAATGTCCCAGATTGGTTGGTTGGGACCGGAAACACTGACATGTGAGTTTATATAAACAGAGCGCAGTCGCCTGCAGCGTTACCCCCTCCAGGTCTCTGAAGACGTGGAGAAAAAAAACAGGACAGGCGAACAGAAGACTGAAAAATTTTTAAAGTTTAAATATTTAAAAAAAATAAAATAAAGTCACCTAATTTAATATTTTACATTTTTTTAAAGTATCAAAATGGTTTTTTTTTGTTTTTTTTTTTATTTAATTTTGGGTTAATTTTAAAATTAAATTTAGTTTTAAAGTAATTGAATTTATTTTTTTTAATGTTTTAAAATGTTTAATTTATTTTTCGTATTTCATGTATTTTAACTTTTCAGCATTTTTCACTACATTTTATTTAACTTAATTTTTATTTTTGTTTAATTTTACATTTAATTGAAAACGGAAGACTGAAAAATGTAGAAAGTTTAAATAATAAAAAAGTAATTTACATTTTTTTATTAGTTTTTTTAAAGATCCCCAAACTAGGGGATGCCATTAGACATCTTGGGGCCCCATACAGCCTACATGACGGGGCCCTCACTCCCCCAGACTGGAAGGGATAGTTTCCCATCATTGGTATTAGTGGGGAGGGAAATAGTGCCCATCATCATTGGGTGTCAGTGGGAGGAATAGTGCCTCATCATTGGTGTCAGTGGCATCCACTGATCCTCATCATTGTGGAATAGTGCCCCAGTCATTGGTGTCAGTGGGAGAGAATAGTGCCTCATCATTGTGTATCATGGGAGGAATAGTGCCCCATCATTGTGCCCAATCATTGGTGTCAGTGGGAGGAATAGTGCCTCCATCATTGGTGGAATAGTGCAGTGGGGAGGAATTAGAGCCTCATCATTGGTATCAGTGGAGGAATAGAGCCTCATCATTGTGTCAGTGGCCCAAGTGACCTCATCATTGGTAGTCAGTGGGAGGAATAGTGCCCCATTCATTGGTGTCAGTGGGGGAATTGTGCCCATCATTGGTGTCAGTGGGAGGAATAGTGTCTCCATCATTGGTGTCAGTGGGAGGAATAGTTGCCCCATCATTGGTATCAGTGGGAGGAATAGTGCCCCATTGGTGTCATCATTGGTGTCAGTGGGAGGAATAGTGCCATCATTGGTGTCAGTGGGAGGAGAAACTTAGTGCCCCTATCATTGGTATCAGTGGGAGGAATAGTGCCCCGGTCATTGGTGTCAGTGGAGGAATAGTGCCCATCATCAGTGGGCGAGGAATGTCATTCATTGTGGTGGAGGAATAGTGCCCCATCATTGGTATCAGTGGGAGGAAATAGTGCCCCATCATTGGTGTCAGTGGGAGGAATAGTGCCCATCATTGGTGTCAGTGGGAGGAATAGTGTCCCCATCATTGATGTCAGTGGATGAATAGTGCCCCATCATTGTGTCAGTGGGGAGGAATAGTGCCCCATCATTGTGTCAGTGGGAGGAATAGTGTCCCATCATTGGTGTCAGTGGGAGGAATAGTGCCCCATTCATTGGTGTCAGTGGGAGGAATAGTGCCCCCTCATTGGTATCAGTGGGAGGAATAGTGCCCCGTCATTGGTGTCAGTGGGAGGAATAGTGCCCCATCATTGGTGTCAGTGGGAGGTATAGTAAACCATCATTGGTGTCATGGGAGGATAATGTGCCCCATCATTGGTATCAGTGGGAGGAATAGTGCCCCCATCATTGGTGTCAGTGGGAGGATAGTGCCACCATCATTGGTGTCAGTGGGAGGAATAGTGGCCCCATCATTGGTGTCAGTGGGAGGAATAGTGCCCCCCATCATTGGTGTCAGTGGGAGGAATAGTGCCCCATCATTGGTGTCAGTGGGAGGAATAGTGCCCCATCATTGGTGTCAGTGGGAGAATAGTGCCCCATCATTGGTGTCAGTGGGAGGAATAGTGCCCCCATCATTGGTGTCAGTGGGAGGAATAAGTGCCCCCATCATTGGTATCAGTGGAGGAATAGTGCCCCATCATTGGTGTCAGGAGGAAATAGTGCCCAGTGGGAGGATAGTGCCCCATCATTGGTGTCAGTGGGAGGAATAGTGCCCCATCATTGGTGTCAGTGGGGGAATAGGCACCATCATTGGTATCAGTGGGGAGGAATAGTGCCCCATCATTGGTGTCAGTGGGAGGAATAGTGCCCCATCATTGGTGTCAGTGGGAGAATAGTGCCCCATCATTGGTATCAGTGGGAGGAATAGTGCCCCATCATTGGTGTGTCAGTGGGAGGAATAGTGGCCCCATCATTGGTGTCAGTGGGTGGAATAGTGCCCCATCATTGGTATCAGTGGGATGAATAGTGCCCCGTCATTGGTGTCATGGAGGATTGCCCACCCGTCATTGGTGTCAGTGGGAGGAATAGTGCCTCATTGTATCAGTGGGAGGAATAGATGCCCACCGTCATTGGTGTCAGTGGGAGGAATAGTGCCCCATCATTGGTGTCAGTGGGAGGAATAGTGCCCCATCATTGGTGTTGGGAGGAATAGTGCCCTCCATCATTGTATCAGTGGGAGAATAGTGCCCCATCATTGATGTCAGTGGGAGGATAGTGCCCCCATCAGTGGTGTCAGTGGGGAGGAATAGGTGCCACCTCTCCCCCCATCATTGGTGTCAGTGGGAGGAATAGCCCCATCATTGGTGTCAGTGGGAGGAATAGCGCCCCATATTGGTGTCAGTGGGAGGAATAGTGCCCCATCATTGGTGTCAGTGGGAGGAATAGTGACCCCAATCATTGGTGTCAGTGGGAGGAATAGTGCCCCATCATTGGTGTTTGGGAGGAATAGCGCCCCATCATTGGTGTCAGTGGGAGGAATAGTGCCCCATCATTGGTGTCAGTGGGAGGAGCGCCCCATCATTGGTTTGTGCCCCATCATTGGTGTCAGTGGGAGGAATAGTGCCCCATCATTGGTGTCAGTGGGAGGAATAGTGCCCCATCATTGGTGTCAGTGGGAGGAATAGTGCCCATCATTGGGGAAGGGAATAGTCCAAACCATCATTGTGTCCAGGGAGGAATAGTGCCCCATCATTGGTATCAGTGGGAGGAATAGTGCCCCATCATTGGTGTCAGTGGGAGGAATAGTGCCCCATCATTGGTGTCAGTGGGAGGAATAGTGCCCCATCATTGGTGTCAGTGGGAGGAATAGTGCCCCATCATTGGTATCAGTGGGAGGGAATAATGTGCCCCATCAGTCATGGGGAATAGTTGCCCATCATTGGGAGTGGGAGGCAATAGTGTGTCCCATCATTGGTGGAGGAAAAGTGACCCATCATGTGACAGTGGGAGGAATAGTGCCCCATCATGGGTGTCAGTGGGGGAATAGTGTCCCATCATTGGTGTCAGTGGGAGGAATAGTGCCCCATCATTGGTGTCAGTGGGAGGAATAGTGCCCATCATTGGTGTCAGTGGGAGGAATTGGTGCCCCATCATTGGTATCAGTGGGAGGAATAGTGCCCCATCATTGGTGTCAGTGGGAGGAATAGTGCCCCATCATTGGTGTCCAGTGGGAGGAATAGTGCCCCATCATTGGTGTCAGTGGGAGGAATAGTGCCCCATCATTGGTGTCAGTGGGAGGAATAGTGCCCCATCATTGGTGTCAGTAACTCCTGGAAATAAACTAAAAGGAAACATTGTTTCTCATTATCTGGGGGAAGTGACAGCTGAATCATCTGAGATATAGTGAAGAAAAAAAAACATTTAAAAACCGTCACCGACTTATAGTGACAGCGACTTTATTTTTTTACTATTTGCTGACCTCCGGAACGGATTGATTGGTTTTCAGTGCATTCCTATGAATTTTTTGCAATAGGAAGCACCCCCCCCGCAGAACGCATTAAATTCGTAAAGTGAGGTACGCCTGTATTACAGGAAGCCCTCCTGGGGACCCGCACAGCAGCGATCTCTGTTTTATAAAAACTGGCTTGGCCCCTGGAAATCCCGTTTCGGCGTTGGCAACGAAGAACGCACGCAGGCGGGGTGAAGAGCGCGGCTTCGCGCTATCCGGTTTCCATGCACACAATCCGCCAGCTGCAATCACGCGAAAAGGCGGACTCGGCGCTAATTACAGGTTACGGCGGCACAGAGAACGACATCCACTCTGCTGCTCTCTAAGCAAAAGTGTAACTGAAGAACGAGTTTAAAACGTCGATCACAATTAGTCGCAGTCACTGCAGGCAGCATATTAAACGAGCAGAAACCCGTGTGAGAAGCCGCTGATGGAAGCGGGATCTCTGTGGCCTAGGCTCTGCATGTGGTTGAAGGTCCAGCTGCCTAATCCCAGCTTTGCTGCTTAGCTAGCAAGTATGCAGCCAGTGAAGTCCCAGCTCCGACCTCCATACTGGCTGCAGCTCCCTGTATAGTGAAGCCACAGATTACAGTGGTGACATTTGAAGCTGTAAAGTGGCCCTGTCACCAATGGGGGACCATTTAAAAGAAAGCAAAAACATCTACGTATCAAAAGCAGCTCAAGTCTGGAATCCATTTCCACTCTTCCAGTCTACTTCATTGCTCGCCAGTCATGGCAGGTGTTTGACCCTCCCAGGAGGATTGGGTATCTACTCCCCCTCCCCCCTCCACTGCACTCATTGGTTTCTACCATGGGATTGTGCAAGACTATAGGGCATACAAACTAGTGGGAGGTACCATTGTGTGTGATGGGGGGAGACAGGTACTGGACCCTCCCAGGTGGGTTGGGTATCTGCTGCCCCCACTGCACTCTGGATTCTACCATGGGATTGTGCAAGACTACAGGCATACAAGCAAGTGGGAGGTACCATTGTGTGTGATGGGGGGAGACAGGTGGGTTGGGTATCTGCTCCCCCTCACTGCACTCATTGGTTTCTACCATGTGATTGTGCAACACTACAAGGCATACAAGCTGGTAGGATGAACCACTGTGTGTGATGAAGGGGACAGGAACTCAACCTTTCCAGGAGGATTGGGTATCTACTGCCCCCCACTGCACTCATTGGTTTCTACTGTGGGATTGTGCAAGACTACAGAGCATACAAGTGGAAGGAACCACTGTGTGTGATGAAGGGGACAGGAACTCAACCCTCCCAGGCGGGTGGGGTATCTACTCCCCCCCTCCACTGCACTCATTGGTTTCTACCATGGGATTGTGCAAGACTATAGGGCATACAAACTAGTGGGAGGGTACCACTATGTGTGGGGGGAACAGGTACTGGACCCTCCCAGGTGGGTTGGGTATCTGCTCCCCCCACTGCACTCAGTGGTTTCTACCATGGGATTGTGCAAGACTACAAGGCATACAAGCTAGTGGGAGGTACCATTGTGTTTGATGGGGGGGAACAGGTACTGGACCCTCCCAGGTGGGTTGGGTATCTGCTCCCCCCACTGCACTCAGTGGTTTCTACCGTGGGATTGTGCAACACTACAAGGCATACAAGCTAGTGGGAGGTACCACTGTGTGTGATGGGGGGGGGGGGGAACAGGTACTGGACCCTCCCGGGTGGGTTGGGTATCTACTCCCCCCCCCACTGCACTCATTGGTTTCTACTGTGGGATTGTGCAAGACTACAGAGCATACAAGTGGAAGAAACCACTGTGTGTGATGAAGGGGACAGGAACTCAACCCTCCCAGGTGGATGGGGTATCTACTCCCCCCCTCCACTGCACTCATTGGTTTCTACCATGGGATTGTGCAACACTACAAGGCATACAAGCTAGTGGGAGGTACCACTGTGTGTGATGGGGGGGGGGAACAGGTACTGGACCCTCCCGGGGGTTTGGGTATCTACTCCCCCCCCCACTGCACTCATTGGTTTCTACTGTGGGATTGTGCAAGACTACAGAGCATACAAGTGGAAGAAACCACTGTGTGTGATGAAGGGGACAGGAACTCAACCCTCCCAGGTGGGTTGGGTATCTGTTCTCCCCACTGCACTCATTGGTTTCTACCGTGAGATTGTGCAACACTACAGGGCACACAAGCTAGTGGGAACGTCACCCTCCCAGGATGCAGCGACGGGGTGACAACACCATTTCGATGGAAGGGAAGCAGGGGATAGACAACTTGTCTATGGTAACGGATGCTGAGATGTGATGATGTCACCATGTAGATGAATGGGAAGGCACACATCTGACATTTGTATCGTAATGGACGCAGTGACATGATGACGTCACCATTTAGATGGATAGGAAGCAGGGGATAGACAACCCTTCTATATTAATAGACACAGACATATTGATGTCGCCATTTTTGGTAAAAGGGAAGGCACACAACCGACAATGGCTGTGTTGTAATAGACGCAGTGACATGATGACGTCACCATTTAGATGAATCAGAAGGCCCAGATCCGAGAGCCGGCAACGATGGAAACTCAGCAGTGGGACCATTGCACTCTTGGTTCAGCACAGGAAAAGAGGCCACAACTGGAGAGCCAGCAAGATCAACAAATCAAAAAACTTGACCACCAAGGGGACATTAAAATTGAACTCAAGTATGGTGGGATGATCATGACATCACTGCCCCTTCCTCTCCATGTTATCCAATCAGAGAATGCTTTGAATTAATTGAGAAGGATGCAAGGTGCCCTCCAAATGGCAGCTGTGCTGAGCACATGACCCGCCATGCAGAAGAGCATCTCATCACCACATTTGCGCTTGAAGTCTTCTGTAGATGTCGGCGGGTTTTACGCCTTCGTTCCCAAGAAACGTCATCTCCACACGCTGTTCCACGCACTAACACTGGTGTCTGCCATCTTGGTTAACGGTCTCTGGACTGGCCCGCGACTTGTGCGCCACCGATTGGTAATAGGACATGCTTGCCACTTACTACTGCGTGTAGTACCGCCACGCATTTCAGATTATATCTTGAAAATGAAACGTCCCGGGTTGACTTTAATGCCCCTCGTATAGTAGAGGGTGTCCCTAACATCTGGACACATTGGAAATATCATTATATGTGTATATACCCTCACCGGCCACTTCATTAGGTCCACCTTGCTAGTGCCAAAAAAATATCCCCCACACCATGACACCACCATCACCAGCCTGAACCGTTCATACAAGGCAAGATGGATCCACCACACCATGACACCACCACCACCAGCCTGAACCATTGATACAAGGCAAGATGGATCCACCACACCATGACACCACCACCAGCCTGAACCGTGGATACCAGGCACGATGGTTCCCCCACACCATGACACCACAACCACCAGCCTGAACCGTTCATACAAGGCAGGATGGATCCACCACACCATGACACCAC